CGCCGGGGGGAGTGAGCGAGCGGCTGTGTGGGGCTTAGTTACCGGCTGGGGTTAAACCACGGCAGTTCCCAAGATGAAACACTTTATTGTGAAGAAACTGGAACATCTAGTATGGAAGGAAATTATTTCTTTCTCTATTGTTTACTGTTATCATTTTTGTAAGAAAATAAATGGCAAATTTCAATGTCAGTTCAATCTGTACTGATTTTCCCTGCTTTCCCACTCCCAAACTTAGCAGCCCAGCTGAAATGGGAATTATTTGCACAATCCAAATTTGCAGTCTTTTTATGGAAGAGAGATTGCTTTCACTCATGTACACGCTGCTGCAGCCCATCATTTCTTTCTTATTGCATCTTCTGTGACTAGAGATACACATGCTTGCAGACTACAGAAATAAGCAGTCAGCATGCATCAAGCACTTTAACTTTTTTTTTTTTTTTGGTTAAAGAAATAGGAGACACTGTATGTGTCCTCTTGCTTGCAAGCAACTTGGATGTGAAATGGGGAACTGTGGATTATTGAAATATTTCATCTGGTACCACCACCTTCAACCTTAAAACTTGATTATAGTGAAAAAAACCTTGGAATTGCCTCTACTTATCTGTGCTACTTATCAGAAACAGAAGCTGCTATTCAGGAGACACCCTTCTCTAATGTGTATCAGGACTGAAATGCATTACTAAAGTTAATGGAGAAGCTGTTACAACACATGTCAGCAATACAGCTGGCTCAAAGGCAGTGCTGAGTTGCTAGCTTTTTCAAGTACTTAGTACAGCTGCAAGATGTAGAAATGAGCGTGGATACTCAGGCAACACGAACTACTGGCAGATTGCAAGAGATTTTGGTGCTTTGCAAACGAAAGGAACATACGTAGAACTGCAGAGCTGAACCAGAATTTTGATGTCCAGCTAATGCCTACCTGCAGCTAAGCACATTTCATAAATTACTTGATCCAAAATCCATTAAAATCAATGGGAAATTTTCCATTACTTAAATAGGTTTTGCCCAGGCCTAAGGCACAGGACACTCTGAGATGATAG